GGAATAGCTGGGGTCTTAACAGATACCTTTGCATCCACTTTGGCCTCAGGCAAGGTTCCAGAGGACTGGAGAATGGCCACTGTTGTTCCATTGTTTAAGAAGGGAAAGAGGTAATCAAGGTAATTACAGGCTGGTGAATCTGATGTCAGTGGTGGGGAAGCTATTGGAAAAGATACTGAGAGACCGGATTTATTCACGTTTGGAAGCGAATGGACTCGTTAGTGACAGGCAGCATGTGTTTGTGCGGGAAAGTCACTTCTTAATGACTTGATTGAGTTGATGATTAATGATTAATGAGGGAAGGGCAGCGGATGTTGTCAACATGGACTCTAGTCAGGCATTTGATAAAGTACCTCATGGCAGGATCTGGGGTGAACTGGTTAGATGGATACAAAACTAGCTTGGTTATAGAAGATAGAGCGTAGCAGTGAAGAGTGCTTTTCAGAATGGAGATTACTTGCTAGTGGTGTTCCGCTGGGATCAGTGCTGGGACCTTTGCTGTTTGTAATATATATAAATGACCTGGATAAAAATACAGGTGGTCTGAGTAGTAAGGTTGCAGATGACGCGAAAATTGGCGAAGTTGCCGTTAGGAGGATTGTGAAAAGATACAACGGGATATAGATAGGGGTATAGATAGATTGCAGATTTCAGCAGGAAGATGGCAGATGGCGTTTAATCCGGACTATGCGATGATGTGGCGTTTTGGAAGGTCAAATTCAGGTGTGAATTATTCAATAAATGGCAGAACCCTTAGGAGCATTGACAAAGAGGGATCTGGGCATGCAGATCCACAGATCCCTGAAAGTGGCAACACCGGTGGATAAGGTGGTCAAGAAGGCATACAGCATGCTTCCTTCCATCGGCTAGGGCATTGAATATAAAAGTTGGTGAGTTATGTGACAGCTGGATAAAACTTCAGTTCGGCACATTTTGTGGGGAACATTTTTCACCCTGATATTTGTGGGTGCCAAGAATGCATTGGAGGTGTTGAAAGGAGGCATGTTAGCAATGTTTAAGGTGTATCTTGATAGACACATGAACAGGAGGCAAACAGAGGGGTAGAAACCGCGTAAGGGCAATGAGTAGTGGGTCTAAATAAGTATTAGGAATCTGTGCAGGCCTGGTGGGCCAAAGGGCCTGTACCTGTACTGTATTGGAAATCAATATGTACCAATCAGCTGCAAGCTTAACATGAAAGAAAATGAGTATTTTAGTCTGCTTAAAAATAATGATCAATGTTATATAAACCATTGGAACAAAAGAAAAACTACCAGGTTGTCCTTAACTAAATGGATTTCTGATTTTAATCGATTATCTTAAAAAAAAAAAAGGACATACACACTTCTCAACATGACTGAAATGACAGACCACCAAAGATAAATAATGATGCATTATCATACATATTTTTAGCATGTTTCATGTTGCATACCTTTAAGATTTTATGACTGTAATATTAATTGACTGACGTGTGCTGACCTAGAATTTCTTGTAGCATTTTCAGAAATTCAAGAATCATATTTGAGATCTTGGTAATGTGTGCTTTTTCTCTTGAAACCTTGTTCTTCCTTTCAACCATTGACACCAAGCAACTTTGAGCTAGAGTGGAGTCCAAAAGATTGCCTATATATTTGTATGGTAATTGTTGACATTATCTTAAACTAGGCAAAATACTTTAATTTGATACTGCCACACTTCTCCCATTCCCTCAAAAGTGGGAGAACTGGTCTTGGGAAAGAAAGTCATGATGAGCTTCAATTGCTAGGAAATGCTCCCAATGACTAATCGTTGGAATGGGAATGTGATTTTGTAAAGTTACACCACCGAATAATACTTAGCCCTTGTTATTGTGTCAAGAACCTTCAGCTTCAGCAATTGAACTTTTGATTCCTTCTTGAAAAATTGTTGTCTCGATTCCACATTGAAGTGACAGTTGCCAATTTTCTGTTATTTGGCTGAATTCTGCTGTTGGTCGGGTTGCTTAGCATGTCATGATTGTTGTTACAGAGGGGAAAAATGGCTGAACCCCTCTGATGATTAAACTAAAACACAAGCCCCAATCTGCTATGATGGGACTAGAGGTTCCCTTCTAATAATTACCCCCAAAACACTCAGAGAAGCTCACCTTTCCCCTTGTAATCTATTAAAAGAAAGAGTGGTTAAAAGAAAGAAAATCGCTGATCTCCTCTTTACAAGTAAGAAGAAAAATATTTATTTATTTAAGCAATGAACAAATTATCAGAATTACTAACAAACCAACAATTCCCCCTTATACTACTAACAACTTCCTAACTGATCTAAATTCTACTGGAATGCTGTTTAAATAAAGACAAGTCCCACTTATATAAACCCAATTAATAAGACAACTATAAATTAAAACTTAATTTCTCCAAACTCACACTGTGTATCTTCTGGAACTCTCTGTGCAAATGCCTTTGTTCTGTCAAGTCTGCTGTTGGAATGGGTTTTCTGCAATTTCATCATTGAGGTCTTTAACGTAAACTGCCATGGTACTTTTGATGGGTCTTTTCGGAGAGTTTACAGAGTTTGTGAGAGCCAGGCTTAAACTTCTTTTTGCTGCAGCCGAACATTTTCTCACTCTTTCAGATGGCAGTCGGCTCTTTGCCAGTTTTCAAAAAAACCCTTTCTTAAATACCACTGATGATGCAACAAATTCTCACAATATGATTAGGTTCAGTCTGTCAATGCCATCAGTTTTTAAATTCAATTGGCTTTGAATTACCTGAGTGTTTGGTTTAAATTAATTGGCCAAATTCAAACTCACCATCAAAACAAGCCTAAGGTATCCATTAACAAAGCCAAGTATTAAATGTTTCCATTTTAGAACTATCTGTACTATTCCCCATCTACTCACAGACCTCTTCTCTGTTTAACTCTAAGCTTAAAAATACTTTACCTCTTAAAGGGACCACACTTTGCTTTTTAATTCACAATTATTCTACCCAGCTTTGTAACATTGTGAAAGCATTGACCTGTGGTGTGCATTTTAGCCAAATTGGATTGACGTCATTACATGTAAGCTAGTTCAGGTAACCTCTACAGATGCCATGTTAAGATAAGATGAACAGAAAGCTGTCCAGATATTCTTAAAATGCTCCAGAAATAAATGACATGTTGGTTGTCATTTTCAGAGCTGTATGTAAATTAGGTGCCATGTTTAACTGTGAACAATTATCATTGAGGTTCAGATTACATTTAGAGTCCAACAGGTGTTCAGGGATATTTCTGAGGGGAGTTATGAGGTGCAAGTGTTCTCCCCTGTATGGTGTAAATTACATAACCTTTCAAGGATTCAAAGCAAAATCTAAAGGTTTCCTTGAATTTACTAACAGTAGATCTGGCTTGAGATCACAACAACTTAAACGTGAATTAAATTATAGATTTTTTGAAAGACTCTGCCTCACATTCTATTTACATCGCATCATCCCAAATGGGATGCAGTTTCATTTGCGATCAGGTGTAAAAAAAGACTGTTAAAATATGAATTTTGTATATTTTCAGACTGAAAAAAACAGACTTCAGATGAATTTCTAGCATCTGATAGTTTTGACCATTTAGTATTTAAAGCAATAAGTGGGGTTTCAAATGCACAAATTAGGATTTTTAATACCCCATATGGAAGCATGCATCTAAGACAGTGCTGCATTAACCTAGATTTTGAGCTCAAGTGTCTGAGATGGAACTTGAACTGTAAATTTTCTAATTCCTATTTCCTAACAATGTAGATTTGGTTATTGTGCCTTTTTTGAATTAAAAAAACAGTAAATATCACTCCATTTAATTAAGAAGGAAAAGGAGGGAAAGACAACAAGGTATGGAAGAGGCAGTTGATCATCAGTTGTTAAAGCATTTATTGCAGTCTATTTATTTGGAATAGAATGGTGAACACTTCTAACACCTCACCTGACCAGCACAAAAGAATGTCAGTCTTTGCTCAGTGGTAGTGCTGTCACCTCTGAATTAGGAAATCTGAGTTCAGTTTCCATCACGGAGACTTGAGCTCAAAATTTGTGCTTAAAATATGCATGCTTTCATGCAAAATATTAAAATAAGGCCCCTTAGTTGCCTTCAATGACATTAAATATTCCATAATGCAATTTCAAAGAAGAGCGAGAAGTTCCAACACTGTCGTGACAAATATTTATCCCTTAAATCAACATCATTAAAACTGATTAACTGGTCGTTATCACTTCATAGAATCATTGATTCGGCCATTCGGCCCATCAAGTCCACATCGACCCTTTGAAGGGCATCCCACCCTATTCCCATAACTTTGCATTTCCCATGGCTAACCTACACATCCCTGCACACTGTGGGCAATTTAGCATGGCCAATCCATCTAACCTGCACATCTTTGGACTGTGTGAGAAAATCAGAGCATCTTATTCTAGTTTCGGATCTGAGGATACATGTTTCCATGAAATGATGTTTTTTGATAACAAACCAAGACCAAAATAAGCAAGCATAAACTGTCATTTTCACTTCATGACAGTGTAACAATAACTGTGCAGCGTATGCCTTGCGACCTACTTGTTCCAAATAATTGATAACGTGAGAGAAGTTTTGTGCTAGCCCAATCCACGTTGCAAATTGGCTGGAGGGGAAGGTAGTCTATCCACTATGTCACCTGTAATCATACACTGCTTGGTCCATAACAAATGCTAACTAAGTAGCTTTTTTGAGGGTCTGGTGGACCAAAGTATGGCATTTCTGCAGAATAGGTGAAACCAATTTGAAATATTCCAAAGTTAAAATTATGAATTATTTTACAATAGATACAATCTTATACAGCTGTTGCTGATATTTTGTACTTAGTGCCGTCACTGCCTCCCGTTATACATTGAGACTCTAATGTTGCCCTGAGAGAGCATCATTTTATAGATTGCTGAAATAAATTTAAAATGGGAAGTGGTGAAAAGTTTGCAAGAACATTAAAATATAGGCTTATTACTATGATAGTATTTCTGTTACATTAATAGATGCCTGCGCCAAAACTGAAGATGGGGTCTTGCAGGGGCCGTTGTTTGGAGATAGACGCTGCTGCCTCATCCTCGCCTGCTGTCTCTGACCTAAATCTGAAGAAAGCAAAAACTTTAGATTCCCATGTTCCAAGCCTCAAAAGAAAGCGTGCTGGTATGGTATTGTTCATATTGCTATTCATTTCATTCAAAATAATAGTGTGGCTTAGGTATAGTATAGGTACGTGCATGTTGGAAGCCTGTTTCTCATTGTTTTAAATTAACCTAAGGCTGTTTAGAAAATAAGCTGCCAAAATAAAATCTCAATCCTTTTGAAAGTCTAGAATGCCTGCAAAAGACTCAGTGGGGGGGCGGATAAAGTCTTTCTTGTTACAAAATTAGACAACCTTTTGTTGTATTGAAACTGAAGAGTTAGGATCCAGTGTCGTATTTGCTTCAAGTGGACTTCCAGGACAGAGAATAACTGAATTTTGATCAAGGGAGAAGATCTTTGTGAGGTGGGATCTGCTTTGCTGTTTGGATACCTTTTGAAATATTTCAGTTTCTTAAAGAGGAGATTTATTTGCTGGGGCTAGGGAAGAGATTATAATTACTCCCTTTACGGTAGGTGAACTTAAACAACTGTATCCAATTCTAGTTTAGTTCAGTGAGGGAGATCTTCATGATCCCCGAGCTCCTGACAGTTAGGATTACCTCTTCAGCTTTATTATCCTGTCCCAATGTCTCCTCACATTACTGCAGGGGGGCAGTGGAGTTGGAGGTGGTACTGGTAATGAGAGATTTTGCAAAGAATTGGTGCTTGTATGTGGTTATGTGCTGCTTTAATGTTTTTCTGTTTCTGTGCTGTGAATAGTGGACTTTACGTGGTGTTGGAGAAATATTTTATCTCCTACCCTGTTGGTTATGAGAGTTTACTGATAAGGGTGTCCACTCTAGTATGATCGCATGTATTTTGAACACCATTGCCAGCTGGAGCAATGCGCGTGTGCGACACGCACGCACGCACACGCACGCACACTCTGCCCCCCATCTGCGCATGAGTGGTAGCCATTTTACTGGGTGCACAAGCACAATAGCAGACCCTGTTGCTGGGCATGGACTCATTGCTCCAAGAGCAGCCTCAACCAGGGTGGCTAGATGACGGGTGAAGATATAGTAATCAAGGAGACCTCACAGAATCATAGAGTTCCTACAGTGTGGAAACAGGCCATTCAGCCCAACAAGTCCACACTGCCCCTCCGAAAAGCATCCCACCCAGACCCATTACCTTGCATTTCCCATGTATAACCCACCTAACCTAAACATCCAAGAACAAAGAAGATTACAGCACAGGGAACAGGCCCTTCGGCACTCCAAGCCTGCACCAACATGCTGCGTGTCACAACTAAAACCCCCTACCCTTTCGGGGACCATATCCCTCTATTTCTATTCTATTCGTGTATTTGTCAAGACGCCCTTTAAAAGTCACTATCGTGCCTGCTTCCACTACCTCCCTCGCCAGCGAGTTCCAGGCACCCACCACCCTCTGTGTAAAAAAAACCTGCCTTGTACAACACCTTTAAACCTCGCCCCTCGCACCTTAAACCTATGCCCCCGAGTAACTGACTCTTCCACCCTGGGAAAAAGCTTCTGACTGTCCAGTCTGCCCATGCCTTTCATAATCTTGTAGACCTCTATCAGGTCATTCCTCAACCTCCATCGTTCTACTGAGAACATCGCAAGTTTCTCCAATTTCTCCTCATAGCTAATGCCCTCCATACCAGGTAACATCCTGGTAAATCTCTTCTGTACCCTCTCCAAAGCCGACACATCCTCCAGGTTAGTGTGGTCATCAGAATTGAACACAATATTCCAAATGCAGCCTAACTAAGGTTCTATAAAGCTGCAACATTACCTGCCAATGTTTAAACTCAGTGCCTCGGCTGATGAAGGCAATCATGCCATATGCCTTGTTGACTATCTTCTCCATCTGCCTTGCCACTTTCAGTGACCTGTATATCCAGATCCCTCTGCCTATCAATCCTCTTAATGGTTCTGCCGTTTACTGTGTATTTTCCATTTGGATTAGATCTTCTGAAATGCACTACCTCACATTTTTCCGGATTAAACTCCATCTGCCATTTCTCTGCTCAAGTCACCAACTGATCTATATCCTGCTGTATCCTCTGACGGTCCTCACCACTATCCGCAATTCCACCAACCTTTGTGTCATCCGCAAACTTACTAATCAAACCAGTTTCATTCTTCTCCAAATCTTTTTATATATAACTACAAATAGCAAAGATCCAAGCATGATCCCTGAGGAACGCCACTAGTCACAGCCCTCCATTCAGAAATGCACCCTTCCACTGCTACCCTCTGTCTTCTATGACTGAGCCAGGTTTTTTATCCATCTTGCCAGTTCACCTCTGACCCTGTGCAACTTTACCTTCTGTATCAGCCTGCCATGAGGGACCTTGTCAAAGGCCTTACTGAAGTCCATGTAGACAACATCCACTGTCTTACCCTCATTGATCATCTTGGTCACTTCCTCAAAAATCCCTGGACAATACGGGCAATTTAGCACGGGCAATTTAGCATGGCCAATCCACGTACCCTGCACATCTTCGGACTTAATCTTGTAGACAATGTCAAGGAAGGGAGGCTCTGCTTCATCAACTTCCACCAGCTCCTCCCTGGTTTCCTCCACCTCAGAGTGGTGATGTTAGCAGCACATGTGCCTGTAGATGCTTCCAGTGGCCTGGTGCAGTTGACTTGGTGGGCTGCCTCTGCACACACACAGGAGCAATTTGTCATTTTAGATTATCACTTTGTTCTAATATTTCTTCTTGGTGGCTGTTGGCTCCAGGTGCAACCTGGGAGAGGGCACCCAACATTTCCAATAAGAATGATGGCTGGAGTTCTGCTCATTCAGTGTACATTTGTGCTCATTGATCCCTAGTCCATGCTGGGAAGAGGTGCATTATTGTTCAGCCTGTTGGGTGAATGAATCCATGCTGGGAATTCTAGCCCATAATTCAAGTCAATATTTTGAAATTTTGAGGTTTCAGTTTCTTCTCTGCTGAATTTTAAGCTGTTGGTTTCCCAGTTCGCCTCCAGGGATTGTTTGGCATCTGCTGCATTTGCAGGAAGCAGAGTTAGTTTTAAAAAAAAGCCTTTTAATAGAGCTGCTCGATTTAAGGTGCAAGACCCACAATTGTTCATGGTGTTCAGAGTGTACTCAGTGCATTTCAGGAAGTGTTAATGATTTGTAGAATATCACAATTGATTTTATTTTTAAGGATGTGATGACAGTCGAACACTCCCTATGATACCATGCTGACCAGAGGATTTATTCTGTTAGTTGCAGATTTATCTTGTCCTGTTGAAACCAGCTCTGGATGAGTCAGATGAGCAAGTTGGCTGCATTGTATCGCATGTACATGTATCAGCAAGGGCTGCTGATTCTCTATTCTTCATTCAACTATTGAATAGTCAGAAATTCGGACTTGCACACTAGGCTTGAACAACCTGCTGTCAATGCAGTAGATTAGAAGTTTTGCACATGCTGTGGAAAGAATAATACGGGACTCAATTGCCAGATCTTACTTTTCAGAGTTAAACCTGGCGTATCACATCACAGGAATTTCTAGACTATTGACAATATAAACTGTATAAAAGCTATAACAAATGGAGCAGAAAAAGAGTGGGAGTGTTTGCCTTCCCGCAGGAAAATTTTGGGTTTAGTTTTAAAAACTAAAGGTTAGCTGTAACCAATCAAATCCTGGTCAGATGACATCAGCTTCACCCATGTTCCCAGGTGCGAATCTAGATAGGTTAAAAAAATCTTATGACAAATTAAGTTGTAGCTTCTAGGTGTCTTCAGGTCCATCTGTTTTGTGCCAAAGGAAAATCTCATGCTTTGTAAATAACAAGATCTTGGAATCCTGAGGGATCTCTAGTCATGGTTTTCCTTCCCATTTATCTCCCAGGGATCCTTTCTCTACCTCTCCCTTTCCTCAATGATGTGGAGGTGCCGGTGTTGGTCTGGGGTGGACAAAGTCAGAAGTCACACGACACCAGGTTATAGTCCAACAGGTTTATTTGAAGGTGTCACTTGACAAATGAGCAGTGCTCGAAAAGCTTGTGATTTCAAATAAACTTGTTGGACGATAACCTGGTGTTGTGTGACTTCTGACTTTCTCCTCATCTATGTACTGCTCCATGTTGACATCATTGGTAGAATGGAGGTAGCTTATACAGCTACAATTACACCAACCCTTTTGATCCCTTCTCTGCCTCTTTGCTGTTACTCTGCTTGTCTGACATCTAGTCTCAGGTGAAGTACAATCCATCCTTCACAATCAAGAGTCTTCTTAAAGCTGACATCATAATTAAGGTTCATAGTTGTCTCTCTCAATATCACATTTGGTTTGGTGTAGTTCTTTGAGATGTTTGTATTAAAGAAGCAAATTGTTTCCTCATCTGAAGCCATTTTCTGTGCTTGAATGCACCATTTGCAACAGGATTAAAACACAAATCTCTCTAATTTTTCAAATTGTGAGTTTGTGAGAGAAATCTAGTTAGAAATATGAAATCAGATAGTAAGAACTTCTTTCAGAAAGGAAAAGAATAAATTACTTAATCTTTCTGGAGAACTGACGCTTCTGAGGAATGAATGATGAGAAGTAAGAGAAAGGCAAATGAACAAATATTTTGTATCTGTCCTCATTGTTGAGGAAAAAAATATTCCAGAAAAAATTGTGAATCGGGGGGTGAAAGGGAGTGAGAAACTTTAAAACCATTACAGTGACCAAAGGATAGAGTACTGAGGAAATTATCAGAACTTAAAGCTAACAAGTCCTGATGGACTTCATCCTAGGGTCTTAAGTGATGTGGCTCCTGAGATAGTAGATGTATTGATTCAATATTGCAAAATTCCCCAGGTTCTGAAAAGGTCCCTGCAGATTGTAAAATAGTGAATATGACTCTTCCATTCAAGAAAGGAGGGAGGCAGAAAGCAGGAAATTGCAGGCTGGTTAGCCTGATATCAGTCAGAGGAAAATGCTGGAATTTCTTATTTAGGAGGTTGTACAGGGTACTTAGGAAATCTTAATGCATCCCAGCAGTGTCAACATAGTTTTGTGAAAGGGAAATCATGTTCAGCTAATTATTAGAATTATTTTGAGGAAGTAACAAGCAATGTGAAAAATGGGTAAGTGGTGGATGTACTGCATTTAAATTTTCAGAAGGCATTTGAAAACATCAAAAGTTATTGCGCAAAATGCGATCTCTTGGTGTAGGAGGTAAGATATTAAAATGGACAGACGATTAGTTAGCTAACAGGAAACAGAGTTGGCACGAAGGAGTCATTTCAGGTTGGTAAGATGTGATGAGTGATATGGCACAGGGATCAGTGTTGAGGCCTCAACTATATCCAATTTATACCAATGATTTGTATGAACAAGCGGAAGGTATGGCTGCTAAATTTGCAATTGATATAAAATAGGTAAGAAGGTAAATTGAGAAGAGGAGACAAAGAGACTGCAAAGTGATATTGATCAGTTAATTGAATGGACATAATGCTGGTAAGTCGAATATAATTTAGGGTAATGTGAACTTGTTCACTTTGACAAGGTGAATAGCAAAGCAGTATTATTTAAATAGAGAAATTTTGTGAACTCTGAGTACAGGGGTTTCTGAGTGTCCTTTCATGTGAATCACAAACAGTTTGCAGGTACAGCTAGCGATAAGGGAGCAAACCTTCCCTCTGCCACTTCGTAGACTTTAGCGGTCTCTGTGTGGCAGTGGCTTCCAGAACCAGAAGTCAATGCATCCACGCGCCGATCAGCAAGCATGTCTCTCCGAGTGACCATGCAACCTCATAGCTTAGGGGGAACGTTGTTAGGGAGACAAGTGGGATGTTGTTGTTTATTGTAGTGAGAATGGAATGTACAAGTAGGCACGTTTTGGTACAGTTAGTTATGGTATTGGTGAGACCACATAGAATTATAGGGCACAGAAACAGACCCTTCGGACCAACTCGTTTGTACCACATCTGGAGTATGGTGTGCAGTTTTGGTCTCCTGCTTAAGGAAAGGATATAAATGTGTGAGAAGCGGTTCAGGCAAGGTTCACTTGACTTATTCCTGTGATGAAGGGGTTATGAGGGAAGGAGTTTTGAGGAAAAGATTGGGCAGGTTAGACTTGTATCCATTGGAGTTTAGAAGAAGAGGCCATCTTATTGAAATGTCCAAGTTCCTGACAGAACTTGATCGGGTGGATACTGAAAGGATGTGAGAGAGACGAGGAGTAGTGGACACAGGTTTAAAGTAAGGTTCTCCATTTAGACGAAAATAAGGAGAAATCTATTGTCTGAGGGTTGAGAGTCTTTGGAACTCTCTTCCTGAGATAGCAGTGGAAGCTGGGTTATTGAATATTTTTGCTTAAGGACCTATCAGGGATAGGCAAGAATGTGAAATCCGATCAGCCCTAACCTTACTGAATGGAGGAGCAGGCTTGAGGGACCAATGGCCTACATCTGTTCCCAAGACATATGCAAGCAACTCCCTATATACCCAATAAAGTTACTAAATTATGTTTAAATTCTTGAAAACAAAATATTAATAATTCGGACTAATTTATTTATATACAGATGGCGTTGAGCCTTTTGAAGGAGATGGCATGACCAAGATCTGCATTGAATATGAGAAAGCAAATGAGACCACAAGAAAGAAACCTGTGAGCCTACTTGATGCATTAGAGCACAGTGAACAAAAGACTGATGAAAGTGGAAAAAAGGTAAGATGTATATCAGACTGAACTATCTGTTATGTTTCTTTAAGTTTTAAGATATTGGACTTTTCCCTGCCTGCTTATACAAAAACCGTAGGGATTTCCATATTTACGTCATAAAGCTGCCTGATGAAGCGTTTTAATTCAGTAAGGGGAAATCGAAAATTTGTGGTGATTTTCTATCTCTAGAGATTGAATTACTCCACTTTTTCAAATTGATGGTACTTTCACCTTTTGTGTATGGCTTTGTATTGCATCGAGCTTCTCAGAAACACTTTTTTTGGTTCTGAGGTAAACGTGTTTTCTTGTTATTTGTTCCAGGATCTGGGCTTTGATTTTAATCTGTTTATGTTCCAACCAGCTTTGCAGACACTTGAAGAATTTGATGAATCAGAGAAAGGAAACCTGTTCCTTTATTTCGTCATTACGGGGTCAAAGTCCTAAAAATATCTCTGCGTAGTGGGGTCCGTGGCTGTAACAATTTATGAAAACAATTTGCCACTATCTTCACAAGTCCATTTAAGAATGTGCAATAAACGAACAGGGCTTGGTAGTGTTACTAACATTCCATTACTTTTTTTAAAAACAAAAACAGCTGGTTTCCTTCTGAACCATCCAACCTCCTAATATTACTTAATATAAACTGTTCTCAAGCAAACAGCCAATATTCCTTTGGACTACACTTTGCAGTAGAAAATTTCACATTCTAATTACATACTGTCTGAAAAATATGTTTCAAACATGCCTTGACTACTTTTTCTCATTTATACATGCCTTCCCTGCCAAAAAAAGGGATAGTTTCAGTGTCCTGGGAATATTGCATTCTCACTTCTGCACTATCTTTCTAGTTGCACATTCTTCAATCTTCCTATTTCTGTACTCACTTGCTTAGTGTACTAATATGGAAATTACCATTCTTGACCTCCTGTTTGCTAAGTTCCTATCTGCCTTGGTAGGAATCCTGACTGTAGGTCCACATTCACATTCCTACCCATATCATTGGTGTCAAAGTGGACCATTACCTCAGGCTGATCATCCTCCCTTAGAAGAGGCCATGCTGGCAATCTGTGACAACCTTCACCGGTGTGCAGCATACCATCGCTGCAGTCATGTCGATGGCTGCAGAAACGTCTCTCTGTTCCCCTAACTAATGAATCCTCTAACACTACTGGTTTTCTACTTAGCCTCATTCTCTCCTGTACAGATGAGTTACTTGAGTGGCTTGGGCTTGGTTTTTCTGCCGAGGAGCCATTGCCCTCAACAGTATCCAGAATAGAAAACTGATTTGCTTGCAAAATCATTTCACAGGATGTTCTATTACCTGCCCGGTTCTCTTGGACTGCCTGATGGTCATAGATTTTCTGTCTGTCTACGTGCCCCTGTTGTGTGGCGTGATCACCTCCCTAAACATACCATCCACATAGTCCTCTCCCACGGGGATACAACGCGTTCGCTTAAGCGACCACTTGAGTTCTGCAACTGGATCGCAGGATTCTGTTGCCGAGGACACCTTTTGGTCCTTAGCTCTTCTAGGTCCACAGGATGGGCATTCCCTGTAGCTGAGCTGCCCTGTCATACTTTGAGCTTACTTTTGGACCATTGTAAAACCAGTGGCTAAAATGAGGAATAAGTCTCAAGTAATATGACTTCAGTCTCAATCACAATAATATCCTGATGGATACGGCACCTTTTGCCATTGCTTTAACCAATAATGGATTTGCTACGGTTTTGCAAAATATGCCACCTTGACCTAAATAAGATTTTGCATAATTTTAGCATTACTTTCTACATTTAGAATTTTAATATTTTTCTACTTATGACTGTTGTGTTACCCATTAACATGGCAACCTTCAGATGTTCTTCAGTTGCAATTAAACGTGACTGTCTTTTATGTTTTCCAAGATGTACTACTTCACATTGTTTGATAGTGAACTGCACTTAGCAGCTCATTCTGGTAACGAGTGTCCTGTTGCAGTTTGCAAATCCTTTCCTACAATTTGCACGCCATTCCAATTTTGTCATTAGGAAATTCAAGTACTATTCTTTCAATCCCTCAGTCCAGATTATTTGAGTATCCAAATAAAAGTGGCCTGTGCACACTGACCCCGCACCACGCTGCTCCCAGGCCTGCAAAAAAAATCATTTATGCCTGATTTCTGTCATTCCAGCCATCTCTGTCATTCATATGATCATATTGTTGTTGTAGAATTCATTTTCACTGCATTTCTTTACATGTTACCCACTGACGCCGAAGTTTATCAATCAAAATCTACCTTTATGGATATTTGTACAGTTTTACTCAAATAACTTGTTCTGGGTAAATGAAAACTCAATTTACAGACTAGTAGTTGACCGATAACTGAAGTGAGATTAAAAGTCATGCAATTTCCAGTTTAACTAATCTCTTTGAACAGCAGTCTCATATTAGCCCACCTCCATTGCAGATTTTGGAAAGGTACGTCTTCTATCTCGGCCTAATTTGTGTCAGCATGATACAACACATTTTGCTCACAACTTGTTTACTGCAAGTCCACTTAAGTATTTGGTACACCCACTTTCTTGAATCATGAGCCCCATGGTTCTACAATTTCAACATCCATCTCTGCTGTGAAAACATACACAGTATATCAGAAATTTCCCTTCCCCTCTCCCCCTTCAGCTTTTAATAGCTCTACTCCTACCTCGACTATTACCCAACTGTTACCAGCATCTACATATTCAAAACTTTGATTTTTTTCCCCTTTCTCTGCTTTTATTTCTACTATTTATCTTATCCCTCTTGGCTTTTTTGATTTTTTTTTTTTTGTTGCTTTTGTATACTTTGCATTTATCTTGGCTTTATTTACATTTCACCCTTTAGTGATTTTTGTAATCGTATTTAACTTTATCTATTCATCCATGGAACTTGGCATTTGATAGATTTCTAGTTTTCTTACTTGAACTTAGAAGATTTTTACCCTTCTGAGTTGCTGTTTAAATATTTATCATTGCTAATGTATGTTTTCTTCAATTTACTTGGAAATTTTATTGTAAATTGGTTGTTTTTGATGACTGAGTTGCTTTTGACTTTTATTGTTCCAACAGTAAATCTAAGTGTCATTTTTCTCAGACATTCCCCTTCTTTTCAAATTACGTAATTGTTCTATTTCCTTACTTCTAGTGGCAAATGTGAATTAATAACCTAAATGTTTTGCAAAAATACCTTCCTTGTCAGAAATGATGTCAAAAGCCTGGTTTATGTTTCTGTAATTAATTTTTCCTACAATTAAAGGTGTACTGTTACTACAGTATATCTATATTTTGTTAAGGCATTTCATTCTTTCTCCAGTAATGTTAGTTTGAAACCACACACGTAGAATTGAGCTCGGTTGAGAATTAAATTAAGCTATTAGCTGACCCATCTGCACAGTTCTATGTCTCGAGAGTAGATCCTAGTGACTCTTTCTAGGACCTTGGAGATAATTTGCAGACGATCCCACCCTCGGCCGACTGTCTGTGTGGAGTTTGCACGTTCTCCCCTTGTCTGTGTGGGTTTCCTCCGGGTGCTCTGGTTTCCTCCCACAGTCCAAAGATGTGCAGGCTAGTGGATTGGCCATGCTAAATTGCCTGTAGTGTTGAGGGATGTATAGGTTAGGTGGGGGATGGGTCAGTGTGGACTTGTTGGGCCGAAGGGCCTGTTTCCACACTGTAGGGATTCTATGATGATGATGATAATGATCAATGATAATGCATTATGTATGTGGTTACAGAGTGACTATCTTTATCTCTCACTGTTGAATTTCCAAATACTACTGCAAGTTGCAGATAAGTCTTTTTCCACATCTTGCGAACACACTTGCACCATGACATTAGTCATATTTCCATCTTTAGTTGCTGCCTTTGATTGTATCATAAACAGTGAGTGCTGAATACCTCTGATACAGCTTGAGCCATCAGCTGTTTCCATTATTGTCTCTACGTACCCTTCTCTCCACACCGACAATGGCAATCAAATTCTTCTTATTTCTCTACCCATGGAGAGACCACCTGCTTTCATGTATACCAAGGAACTCTTCCTTCTGTTAGAGAATGCTGCATCCTGCTTTTCATCAAAAACATATCTATTTCTTACTTGAATCTATGTATTGATTCTGCCTCCACTGCATTCTGTGGCATTGAGTTCCACAGATTCCACAGATTTAGGTGTACAAAATGATCAGAGGTATCGATAGAGTCGACAGCCAGAGACTTTTTCCTAGGGTGGAGATAGCTATTTTGAGGGGGCATAGTTTTAAAGTGAGTGGAGGTAGATAAAAGGGAGACGTCAGAGGTAGGTTCTTTACTGGGAGAGTGGTAGGGGCGTGGAATGCATTGCCAGAGAGGATAGTGGAGTCAGCCTTATTAGGGGCATTTAAGCGGCTATTAGATAAGCATATGGATGATAGTATAAGGTAGGGGTAGGGATAGAGGTTAGATAGACCTTTAGGTTTAGGGTAAAAGTTTGGCACAACATCGCGGGCCGAAAGGCCTGTACTGTGCTGTACTGTTCTATGTTCTATATTACAGGACAGAGAGAGGCTATTTGACCCAACAAATTTACACCAGCTCTTTCAAAGGGAAATCTAGGTAGTCCCATTTTCCGACTCTTTCCCCATTTCCTTAATATACATCTACTCTTTTTCAATGTCAAACAGAAATAATGAGAATGAGGAACTTAAAAATAACCATTTTTGTTTTTAAAAACTAGTAAATTAATCCCTGCATCCTGATGTCCTATTAAGTAGGGTTTTAAAAGAAATGCCAACAGAGATTTTGTTTTCAATCTTGTTTTGGGGTGGTGTCAGTTTCTTGCACATACCCAGAAGAACTTGCTGCTGCCAGATATCCCAGAGTGGACTGCAAACTCTGGCACTGGCACCATCGCAGAAAAGGCCATTGGGCACCTGGACAAAAATTGTCAATCTAGAGCTGCCCTATCCCAAACATGGAGAAGGGAAGTTGGTGCCTCCCTTTGTGGATAGTGACTTGGAGATTCTTTTGGACACGGTGGTGCTGTTCTCTTCCCACCCCTGGACTGGCAGAGGTGGCCACGACACCAGACCCTACCAGCCTGGTCCACCCAAACAGTGCAGACTCACTATCTGGTGGAATGCCTAGTAGTATAGGAAGGTCAATGACCTTCTCCCCTCCTTTAGAGTAATTTCCACCATCTCTCTGCCGTTACAACCACTTTCCACAAAGCCTCATGGTTATGACTCTCACTATTACATGCAACATCTTCTGTCACTGTGATCTGTCCCAACCCCCCACACCGCTAACCCCTCACGCCCTTCGTGCTGCCCACTCACTCTGGCGGGAGACCTCACTACCTTTCCTGCAACAACATTAACAGCTGTGCAGCTCACTTTCTTCTCTTTTTTAATACCTACCTTTCTCTCACACCAGGAGAAAACACACCACAGCAGACCCTAAAGCGTTAGGATATCAAGAGTGTGACATTTCGCTGCTCACAACATTTGAGGATTAAGATCCTGACCTTGACAGCCTTGTGCAGCTGGCTGACCGTGTCCAAGCCTCTGGCCTGATATTAGAGACTGCCCTTGACTTACTGTGCTGGGATCCCTGATTGAAGCCTGTCTTCCCTGATTTAATTGAGTCCTGCTGACAACATTGATAATGGCTTTGTGTCTGTGCTAAATGGCAAGGCAGTACAGCAGCACTGTGGGCCTGGTATCTCTGGTTGAGGAAGCAAAGTGTAAAACTGCAAGGCATGGATGCTGTGAGCATCTAATTAGGTTCAAAGTGAATGAGCACTAAGAGAGGAAGTGAAGAGCCCTGAGGTGCAACTTTGTCTAATCCACAAACGGCATGTCTGTTGCTGTGCGCAGAGTGTCCTTTGCAGGAGCATTGCTGTGACAGTTGCTGATGAGCCCAAGTTGTAGCATTGACGTGCAGAAGTGTACTGTAAATGGATTGGAGATATGCCATGATGATGCTGAGAGATTGGCAAGCATCCAGTGCCAAGGTCCATTGACATGTGTTTATGTTTGCTGCCTTTGGAGAGTGCCCTAAGAAGTTGATGCCTGGTTTACAAGCTTGGACATCCAGAGAAGGAAACGATAAGCTGGAGTCACTACATGCCCGCTTTGATATTCTTGTCAAGAATTCTCCTTGTAGTAGATGGTAGGAAAGGAAGCTACATATTAATAAATTGAGGTGTAAAGTTAATTAGGCTGACGACAAGCAACAATCTCCTTTAATCGGCATTTGGTGCTGACTTGCAAGAATGTCATCTTGATGCCTGGGACTTTGTTGGAAAATGCAGTTAGTTTGACCTGGATATCACACGAGGCCTTGCTGAACATCTCTCAGATTTCTCACCATAGTCCGTGCGGTCAGGCCTTGATATAGGATTCCACCCAAGGGATGTTTGGGTTTTGACCTTCCCTCGAATCTGGAATGACTCCTGTGAGTTCAAAGGCAAAATTATCTTCCTATTCAGGAAAAGATGGAGAAAGAAAATAGGGATTCACAGATGTTTTTATAAGGTTGTTACTAGCAGGATAGATGAGAAAGCAATACATGTACTATCAGGAAGCACTGGATAAGGTGTCACATAAAGGTTTTGTTGCCCAAGAAATGGATCTCATAGGATTGCAACCAGTAAAGTGCCACTGAATCAGCCTTGAGCCTCAGCTATTTACAATGTATCTTAATTACTTAACTGAGGGGACTGAGTGTTACATATCCATGTTTGGTGCTACAAGTGTGTCTGGAAGCTGGGAAGGGATTAAAGATTGGTTAAGTGATTTTGCGAAAAGATGGCAGATGGAATATAATGCAGATAAGAACAAAATCTTGCTCTTTTGCAAGAAGAACAGAAAAGCACCATCTTTTCTAGAGTGAGAGACTACTAAATGTTGAGATTCAGAGGGATTTGGGTGTCTTTGTGTAGGGCATCATGGGGAGGTGATGGCCTAGTGGTATTATCGCTGGACTGTTAATCCAGAGACCCAGATAATGTTCTGCGGACTCGGGTTCGAATCCGCCACGGCAGATGGTGGAATTTGAATTCAATAAAATATCTGGAATTAAGAATCTAATGATGACCATGAATCCATTGTCGGTTCACTAATGTCCTTTAGGGAAGGAAATCTGCCATCTTTACCTGGTCTGGCCTACATGCGACTCCAGACCCACAGCAATGTGGTTGACTCTTAACTGACCTCTAGGCAATTAGGGATGGGCAATAAATGCTGCCTAGCAGTGATGCCCTCATCCTGTGAATGAATAAAGGGAAAAAAAAAATCAAGTATTGAATGGTGGAGCAGACTCACAGGGAAAAAACACCTAATTTGGCTCCTGTTTCTTAGGTTTTTACATAAATCTAGAAGCAGTGCATCATGCATACAGTCACCGATCATGTTTCAGGTTAAGAGTTGTTTCTCAGCCAAAAGTTCATTATCTGTGCCACACACTGTCAGTCTCTGAATTCCTGCTCCACCTGTTTGACTACCTTTTTTCAGCTTGCAAATTTTGTCTAATTTTCAACCATTTGTTTCGTGGTGGTTTCTTTAAACACCCCTTCCTTGTGCAAAGAACAGACCAGATAAAAATCAGGAGAGGCACTGTAGAATACCAGTTAGCTCATAAAATGTCTTTGTACAGGATTAGGTATCAGTCAGTTTTCTTCCTTAAAACCAGTGGACTGTTTGGTTGGAGGTTTACCAGATTTAATTTAAAAACATAGTTCCTCCAAATTTACACACTGCTTTTGTCTATTACTATTTAAGCAAGATATTCCTGCTGAATAGTGCAATGCCAACTATCATGAGAACATAACGAGTAAGAACAGGAGTAGGCAATTTAGCCCCTTAAGCCTACTCTGCCAGTTAATGTGATCGTGGCTGATCTCATCTCAGCCTCAATTCCAATCGCCTGCCCACTCCTTAAAATCCTTTAACTCGGCGAATTCCACAGATTCACGGCCCTTTGAGAGAAGTAATTCATCCTTATCTCTGCTTTAAATCTATTATCCCTAAGCTTAAAACTACGACCTTGTTCTAGATTACCTTACATTTGGAAACATCCACTCTGTGTCTACTCTGTCAGTCCCCTTTGGTATCTTCTGTCATTCTTCTAAATTCCAGAGAGTATAGGCCTAAACTGCTCAATCTCTCCTCATATTCAAGCTTTTCACCTCTGGAATTAATATTGTGAACTGTCTCCAATGCAATTACATCCTTATTGCCACAGATAAGTTATGCAATTGAAACAAAAAAATCTAAAAATTTGAAACAAAATTAGAAACAGTTCTAAATTCACCACAGATCCATCGTTGTCTGCAGCGGCAGAGAGAACAGAATCACTGGATGAATCCCTTCGACACTCATTCAAACTAATCCCACTTTCTGGCTTTTAGTCCATTGCTTTACAGGATACCACATTACATACACATGTCCATGCAATGTTCACTGCAATCTTTCCTGCTGCTGAGTGGCCCTCTGAAGTCAGTACTGAAAGCAGAAACATTGCATTGGTGCTCTGATTGACAAGCACGGAGCTTCCCAGCAGCTGTGTGGTCGAACATTGTGTCCGAGCATTTGTTAAATGTTTTGTGGGTTTCCAGTGCACTTTTTCAGTTAATGAGTTCTAGATCCTCTAAGTGAAAAGATTTCCCTGGAATCCTGTCTAAATCTCCTACTTCTCACCTTAGATCTATTCGTTTCAGTTATAGACCCTCTCAGCCAAGGATATTCTTCCTAAGGATGACCTTCCTATCTGCTCTATTTAGACCCCTTGTAATTTTACACACTTCAGTTAGGGGTCCCCGAGCCTCCTAGCCAATCTAATCTTTCCACCTAACTAAGTTTCTTCAGTATGGGGACTCTAGAATCCTCGTAAATGTCCTATGTATCTTCTCCAGTGCAGTCACATTTTTCACATAGTTTAATGACCAGAACTACAAGTGGTAGTTCAGCTATCACCTAACCCAGTGTTTTATGCTGCACCTCCATTACCTGCCAGCCCTATATCGTCAGAACGCTTTGTTGGCCATGTTATCTATCTATTCAGTCGCTTTCAGGGATCTGTGGACATGCACTCCTAGGTCCTCCTGTTCCTCAATCTACCTCAGTAGCCTATCATTTATTGTCCATTCACTTGTCCTTTTGGACTTCCCCAAAAGCATTGCCACAAGTTAAGAAATCAGATGGATCTTTCATCACCATTGTCAGTCAAGCATTTTTTATGGTTTTTAAAAGCTTTGGAGTATTTATACATTGCTAATAGCTTAACATAAAATGCCAAATAATCATGACATGGATTTATTTAATACTGTTCACATTCAGGTTTTTCCAGAGTACTTCAGTCAATGAATCACATCTAATAAGTCACTTGTTGAATGTCAAATTGTTAATCTATTATTTGGCTTTCTGTAGGCGGTTAAAATGTTAACCGTGTCTTCTAAACATGTGACTGGTGAACAGCGAGGAGGGAGGAAAAAAATCACGCTAGTTAGTAATCATGTGAGTGTGTTTCTTTTGTCTTTGATATAACATAAGCACACTGATATTTAATCTAGTGGTATGGTTTCTTAATGTGTTAACAGCTGCATTTCAATGGACCTCTGTGTCACAAAATCTTACTTGAAATTAATTCTCTTTTTGAGATTCTTATCACAAGTTGCTTTATATGTAGACCAAGTAAGAATACCCAAAGATGCATAGTTGCTTTTGATGGTATGAATAGCTGTTGGCTTATCCTACAGTTTAAAAACTTGGTGTTCGTAAAACACTTTAATGGATTATTCATTTAGTTCAGTAGTGCCGAACCTCCTAATTTGAATAGTTTCCTCATGAATGCAATAAATGGCGATTGATTTTTGTCTATTCCTAAACATGGTGTAATTAGTTTATTTTTGAAGTCTGCATACTGCACGTAGAAATGTGTTAAATCCTTTCTGTCTACTTAAAAGTACTAGAAGCTGTTATTATGAAACTGTACTGAGGCTGTTAATGTCTGTGTAAAGTTATAACAGTTTTTTCCGTTTTAATTTGAATACCAACAAACTCATATTTTCAGCTGTCAATTACATTATTTTGACAAAAACAAATTGATTGTTCATAATCTTGTGTTTAGGTACTTGATGTATTGCCACTATCTGAGAAGACAAAAGCAGAAAAAGCTAAACTTTTCATAGTAGCTGTAAAGGAAGTTCTCAGCAATGCCAATTATGAGCGTTTTACCAATGCAATGCAGAAGTACAAGTTGACAGATGATTTTGATACCATGCTGAGTGAAATGGCAGCACTTTTTACAGAAGATTCAAAAAAAAACAATCTTCTGCGAGGTAATTAATTGTAAGGATTAGCTATTGTGTGGTTAACTACAATTTATAAAACTATGTCTTCCTCTAAAACTGGTTTAAATGATTGCATGACTGGTAAATCTGCTAATCTTTGTTGACAGAATGGAACATAGTGTCATGCATGCATTTTTGAGTCAATGAAAGATTGGAATATAAATACTGGAGCAGGTCTGCCATTCTCTGACTGAGGCAAAACTACCTATGAAATATTGATTACTTATCTTTATGACTACAGCAGGTTACCTCATGGGGTTACATTGAAGAAGAGTGAGCAGTTGTCCACAGTGTCCTAGCCAATATTTATCCTTGAATCACCGTCACAAAAATAGATTATCTGATCGTTATTATGTTTCTGTCTGTGGGATGCACGCGTGCAAATCAGTTTTGTTTAATTGTTTCATGGGATGTGGGCACAACTGGCAAGAGCAACATTTGTTACTCATCGTCTATTACCCTTCAGTCATCATCTTGAACTGGTGCAGGTACACCCACAGTGCTTGTAGAAAGAGCTATTGTGGATTTTGCACCCACTGTTATTTCTCATGGAGCATTCTGTTGTCTGTGTTTATAAGAACAAAATCTTATAACTCCTTCCTTTGTTTCTTGTGTTAAATTTATTTACTTTCATTATTGGCTGATGAATCAATGACAAGCTTTTTTCCCTATTAGGAAAAACTTGTCTTCTGATTAGTCAGCCAATAATTAGAGTACATACATTTCCCACTAAAAGAACAAAGGACTTTTTTGTAAAAAATCTGATCAAAACCAGTTTATGAAAGCCTTCATTATTTTAACTGGTCTCCTTTTACCCTTTTCCTGCTCTAACGCAGTGAGCACCCCCCACTTCCGTTTCTCTGCAGTCTTAATGTCCATTGAACCCTTGATTTCCTTTGTCTCAGCAAATGATATCCAACATGGATGTGTGATTTATTCGTTCAGAGTCATAGAAATGTACAAGACGGAAACAGACCCTTCAATCCAACTCGTCCATACTGACCAGATATCCTAAATTAATCTAGTCCCATCTGCCAGCATTTGGCCTATATTCCTTTAAACCCTTCCTATTCATATACTCATCCAGATGCCTTTTAAGTGTTATAATTGTACCAGCCTCTACCACTTCCTCTGGCAGTTCATTCCATACACACACCACCCTCTTCATGAATAGGTTGCTCCTTAGGTCCCTTTTAAATGTTTTCCCTCTCACCTTAAACCTATGCCCCCTAATTTTGGATTCCACTACCCTGGGAGAAAGACCTTGACTATTCACCTATCTATGCCCCACATGATTTTATAAATCTCTAAAAGGTCATCCCTTAGCCTCTGACGGTCCAGGGAAAATAGCCCCAGCTTATTCAGCCTCTCCCTATAGCTCAAACCCTCCAAGCCTGGCAACATGCTTGTAAATGTTTTCTGAGCCCTTTCAAGTTTAACAACTTCTTTGCTATAGCATGGAGACCAAAAGTGGACTAACCAATGAGCCGCAACATGACCTCCCACCTACTATTGTCAATGCACTGACCAATAAAGGCAAGTGTACCAAGTGCACTCTTCACTACCCTGTCCACCTGTAACTCCACCTTCAAAGAACTATGAACCTGCATTCTAAGGTCTCTTTGTTCGGCAACGCTCCTCAGGACCTTACCATTAAGTGTACAAGTCCTGGCCTGATTTGTCCCTACTGAAATATACTATTTCACACTTAGCTAAAATTAAACTCCATCTGCCACTCATTGGCCCACTGGCCTCTCTGATCAAGCTCCTGTTTTACTCTGAGGTAGCCTTCTTCTCTGACCACTATTTGGTGTCATCTGCAAATTTGCTAAACGTATTCCTATATATTCACATCCAAATAATTTATATGAATGACAAAAAGGAGTGCACCCGGCACCGATCCTTGTGGCACACGGCTGATCACAGGCCTCCAGTCCAAAAAGCAACCCTCCACCATCACTCTGTCTTCTATCTTCAAGCCAATTTTGTATCCTAATAGCTAGTTCTCCCTGTATTCTGTGTGATCTAATCTTGTTAACCAGTCTACCATGCAGAACCTTGTCGAACACCTTACTGAAGTCCATATAGACAATGTCCACCACTCTGCCTTCATCAATCCTCTTCGTACTTCTTCAAAAAACTCAAGTTCGTGAGACACGGTTTCCCATGCACAAAGCCATGTTGGCTATCCCTAATCAGTCCTTGCCTTTCCAAATACATGCAAATCCTGTCCCTCAGGATCCCCTCCAACAAATTGCCCACCACTGATGTCAGGCTAACCGGTCAGTAGTTCCCAGGTTTTTCCTTACCACCTGAACTAATGGCACCGGGTTAGCCAACCTCCAGTCTCTGGCACCTCACCTGTGACTATCCATGATACAAATATCTCCGCAAGGGCCCCAGAAATCACTTCCCTAGCTTCCCACAGAGTTCTAGCATCCACCTGATCCAGTCCCAGGGATTTATCCACCTTTATGCGTTTTAAGATGTATAGCACCACGTCTTTAGTAAAATGGACGCTTTTCAAGACATTGCTATTTATTTCCCCAAGTTCTGTATCCTTCTCCACAGCTTCCATATCCTTCTGCACAGTAAACGCTGATGCAGAATACTCATTTAGTAGCTCATCCATCTCCTGCAGTTCCACACATAGGTGGCCTTGCTGATCTTGGAAAGGCTTGTTGTGGAGAATGGGGATTGTAGCTTGCAGATGGTTATTACAGGAAGAGTGCGCTGGTCTCATTTCATCTGAAGTCATTTACCTTTGCAATTGATGTAGGGGACTTGCAGTATTGCTTTGACCTGACTGCTTATTCAACTTGCTTGCATCTCTAGTGAGACTACTGTCTTGGCAGTATAGATACAAATGTACGAATTAGGAATAAGAGTAGGCCATTTAGTCTCTCAAGCCTTTCTTGCTTTTCGATTAAAGTCATGGTTGATCTAATCGTGGCCTCAATTCATATTCTTTCCCATCCTCTACTAACTGTTGATTCCAGGTGTCCATGGTGATGGACAACTCTGATATATAAACTGTTGCATAAGATTCTATGCAACTGTGTCAGGCTATGCCTGAATGTATTGATGGATTTTCCTTGTGAATCACAGCTTATTTTCTTGGGATATATTTTGTTGTTGTGATTCTATGAGATTTTAAAACTGTTTCTAAACAGAATTTTATCAGTTTGTTCGGCCACATCACAAAAAGAGGTTTGATGAAGCTTGCTACAATCTGACTGGTGAGGGATGTGGATTTAAACCTGAACATGCAGTTCCAAGAGAGGAGAGGAGAAGAGTGGAGCACGAAGAAAATGCAGGTATGTGGTTTAGAAGCATAAGTGTTCTGTTTAACTAAAATAATCCATTAGTTTGTTATCATTTTTTCTTGGAGTAATCGATTTTATAAATACATTCACCTATGCAACATTGAGCAACCCTGTGGAAGGATATTATTAAATTGGGTGGGTGCAGAAAAGATTTACTAGGATGCTACCGGGACTGAAGTGTTTGAGTTGTAGAGATCTGCTGGATAAGGGACTTTTTTCACTAGAGCGTAGGAGTTTGAGGGGTGACCTTACAGACGTTTATAAAATCATGAGGGGCATTAGGTAAGGTGAATAGCAAAGATCTTTTCCCTCGGGTTGGGAAGTTCAAAACTAGATGAAATAATTTTAAGGTGAGAGGAGAAAGATTCTAAAGGAACCTGAGGGGCAACTTTTTCACGCAGAGGGTTGTTCGTATGTGGAATGAACTGCCAGAGGAAGTGGTAGATGCAGGTAGAGTTTCAACATTTTAAAACACTTTGCTCAGGTAAACGAAAAGGAAAGGTTTAGAGGGATATGAGCCAAACACAGGAAAACTGGACGAGTTTAGTTTGGGAAACTTGGTCAGCATGGACTAGTTGGACCAAAGGGTCTATTTCTGTGCTATATGACCCTAAAAATGAATATCATCCTTCTTGTTTCAATTTCCAGTAAATTATATCACAGTTGATATTAAATGTTCTTCAGTGTTTGCTGCTGAGAAGATTGATGTACTTGCAGTCAACAAAAAAGGAAGTACCTGATGGGTGTTTTCCCGTTGTATATTTTGTTTCATTTTGAAATCGCTTCTTAAAAACTTATAACTGGAAATTTATCATGCCAGTTAATCTCTAATGGGAAGGGTTGTTAGTTTTAGAAGTGCAGTAGCTAGTATTTATCTTCCAATGAATCATTTTGTATTGCTGTTAACTAAAGTTTCAAAAGAGAGACAAGATTTCATTCATTCATTTTCTTCCAGCTTCTTTCCCACCTCTCTTTGCTCTCCCCTAACTCCATAACATCACCACAAAATTAGATTTGGTGAAACCTGTTACCATCTTGCAGGTGAAGAATTTGAACATCTCTGTATTTCTTTTATTTTGAGGGATTTGTTTAATTGAAATCCAGTCTATATGTTAAAGGCTGCTGTAAGGAAAATATTCGGAGCAGCTGTATAGCAGAGAACATTGCTGATTCATTGTTAGAACTGTTGTTGATTTTATTTTGCATTAATTAACTTATCAAAGTATTAATTTTCTTTGCTGATCAGAGAGTAGAAGTTAGAAAAATCATAGGGACTATGATGTCAGTTACAAGTAACATTAAGAGCAAGTTGCCTGCCTGTCATTTTGACCAGTGAATTGTGCATGGCAGTGACGTGCCTAAGGAGAGTCATATAGAAGATATGACTATAGGCAGTCTATAGTTCCAATGCAAAGTTGTCATAAGCTCGAAAAATCCTTAAGCAGTATTTTAATCTTGTAAGTTTTTAAATAGATAATTTAATTGCACTCTCGGTTCCTAATCAGCTTACTGTTACTGATTTTACACCTATACTTACAGAGATGTCAATTCCTAAATACGGCAACTATGGGATTTTTTTGATAGTCCTAAAGGCTCAGTTCTATGTACCTGCTTCAGTTGTACATTGAGTTAATGCTTGTTCTTTTCTTACATCAATATGCATTAATAAATCAAAATGCCAATATAAGCCTACATTTTCTTAGAAGCAATTTAATAAATGCTATAGGAAAGAAGTCTATGCCAAATTTCTGCATTTTATAGCATTGCACTTTAATTGAAAAACTGCTGAAAATTTTTTGATGATTGTTGAAAGCACTAATTACTTGCATGAAGGAAAAGGGCAATGGCTATCAATTTCCCAGGAAATGCAAATGAAGTAATTCCTCATATTACAAAATTCAGTTTCCTGGAACAAATGAGTATTTGCTTTCACTTTGAAACTTGCTGTCTATTTCTTCCTGTATGTTAGAAAATCTGTATTGAGATTACACCAAATCCTGTATTACTTGGTCATAAAAGGGGAAAAGGTTTTGGATTTGATACCTGATTTGTGCTTGTTTCATTTCAAGCTGCATTGGGAAGGAATAAGTTAGATTAAGGGTTCCCGAACTAAGTCCTGGCAGAAGGATGTAAAATATGAATGATAGACGAGGATATGAATCTGAAACCACCATTATTTTTCTAGCTCCCTTGAGGAACAACTTACTAACATTCACCATCTGTAAAGTTCATTATATCTCACCGTAGGTCTTCAAGTATGAGATCAGTATAAAAAGTTACATTATGAAAGATTTGATAGGTAATATCAGCTATTTCCATATTGACATATTAAGTTTGTTGGTGTCAGGTTCCAAATTCAGTCCATGGTTTGCACTGAGTTAGTGAATTGCAACTAGACAGGGGAAGATGCATGACTTGTGGTCTCCTTTCTATTGGGATAGGAAGAGGAGAAAGAAATGGCCAGTTTCAAATGTTTGCTTCATAGTCTTCCCATGCTTGCAGGAAGCGTATATGAATTTTGAAGGACACAATCCGGCTCCATCATAATGCCTATTTCTTGCTTTAGTATCTTGCCAAACCTACTGAGAACTTTTCTCGCAGGGGTCACTGTTGATAGGAGTAGATGGGGCAAATACTTGGGATCATAAAGCTTTGAAATCCATTTCTATAACCTGCACATTTTTAATGTTACTTATTTTTAAATCATTGTTCAAATTCAATGTGATAAATGTGAATCCATATGAAATGTGGGAAATAAAAATTTGAGTCTTTCCAATCTTAAATTTGACAAAAAAATTCATGCTATAATCACTTAAAGATTATTGTAAAGTTGCCCTTCTGCTTAAAGCAGGATAATTACTTAACATTTTATGAAAAATCTAGGTAATGAGAATAGATGGAGGTTTGAGCCAGCAGTCTCTGCAGAGAGCAAATTTACATCATCTTCAAGTTCATCTCAACAGCTAAATGCTTGCACACATCTCAACAGAGGAGGACAGCACCTAAACAGTGGCATGGTTAACCAAGGTAAACACCTTCCCTTGTTGATATGCAAAGTGTTATTTAGATTATTTTTATTTGATACAGACCTGATTTCAAATGATTTTGAGAAATTACTTTGCTTCCTTTTTGGGAAATCTCCAGAATGTGTCTTTTGCAGAGGAAAAAGTGGTGGTCTCGTTCCCTTACCAGTAGTTTTAGTTCAAAAGTCTTAGAACATGCAACATTTTTTGAAATTTAATCAGAGTTAATTGTGTGCAGATCAGTGAGCTACTTGTTACCAAACATCATTGTAAACTTCATGTACAACATTTAAAGAAATCATAGTCACTGACATGATAAAGATAAATCCCCTTAAGAAAACCAAGGGCTGAGAGATGGGAATTATAAAACTTCATCAAGTGAATACACTTAATTGTAGGCAGCAGGTAATTAAGAAGTCAAATGGAATATTGTCCTTCATTGTTAGCGGGGTGGAATTTAAAAATGGGGATGTTATGCTATAGCTGTACAGGGTGCTGCTGAAGCCACACCTAGAATCCTGTGTACAGTTTTGGTTTCCTTTCTTGCAAAAGGGTGCACTGGCACAGGAAGGGGTGCAGGGGAGCTTCACTAGGTTGATTCCAGAGTTGAGAGGGTTGGCTTACGAGGAGAAATCAAGTGGACTGGGATTATACTTGGTGAAATTTAGAAGAATAAGGGGGGGGGGAATCTTATAAAATTATGAAGGAAGTAGGTAAGATAGAAGCAGGAAGGTTGTTTCCACAGGTGGGTGAAACTGGAACTAGGGGGCATAGCCTCAAAATAAGGGGGAGCAGATTTTAGGACTGAGTTGAGGTGGAACTTCTTCATCCAAAGAGTTGTGAATCTGTGGAATTCCTGCCCGGTGGAGCAGTTGAGGCTGCTTCATTGAATGTTTTTAAGGCAAAGATAGATAGATTTCTGAACAGTAAAGGAATTAATGGTTATGGTGAGCAGATGGGTAAGTGGAGCCGAGTCCATGAAAAGATCAACCATGATCCTATTGAATGGCGGAGTAGGCTCAATGGGCAGATGGCCTATTCCTGCTCCTGTTTTTGTTGTAAAAAATGAGATTTTCAGAAACCTGTTTTGTCTAAGATGACTGCTTTATAAATTTGATTAGAAGATTGTATTAATGTAGGTTTTTGCCTTCCTTAAATGTAGGTGAATTTTGTAATTCTGAACCATCTGTTTCTACAACTGCACCTCCAAAAACATTAACTTCGACAGCAGACCAGAAGAAACAACATGTACTTGCTGCCTATATTAGTGATGTTAAGAAGGCTTTAGGACCTAGTAAATACAATAGATTCTCATCGGTACTTCAGACATATAAAAAGACAGATAACTATGATGACATGGTATCTGAAGTAGGTGCCCTGTTTACTGAAAAGTCTGAGGATTTTCATTTACTAAGAAGTAAGTTCTGGTATTTTGATGATACTAAGTTCGTGCTAAGGTTTTATCTGTTGGTAATGATTTATTCCTGGAAACCATCAAACTCTCAGCTAATGCACAGCACATCAGAAGTTCATCCAGTTGTTAGCTTTTCAGTAAAAACATAAAATACTTAATAAAAATGTGCTGATAACATTACATTACATTACAGCCATATATTGCCTCCAATGCAAATGTTGTCTTCCTTATTTAAGGAGGCCAAAACTCCATGCAGTTCTCCGGATTTGGTCTCAGCAATGCACTGTAGAGTTATAGCAACATTTCCCTTTTTTTTCAGACTCCATGCCCCTCTCAATAAAGGCCAGTGTTCCAATTGCTGTCCTAATCACTTGCTGTACCTGCAGGCTCAGTTTTGTGATTTGCATATGAGGACACCCAGAACCATAGTAATTTTGCAGTCTCGCTTTATTTAAATATTGTGCTTTTCTGTTTATACTACCGAACTGGACCACCTCATGCTTCCAATCTTTGAAACCAAGATATTTGCTTTTATACGACGCCATTAGCAGGGTCTGAGAACTGCTTGAAACTCTTCAGAAAGCTTTAACCCGTGAAAGCTCTGAAAGAAGCATATGCACCTACTGCTTTCCAGTTTTAATAAAAGAAATAATAATGCCAACTTGTATTTATATACAATAGTATCTAGCATAAAATGCTTTTCAAGTAGCATCAATGTGGAAACTTTGAAGTTTGCTTTCTGATCTTGTCTACCTTCCTCTATTAACGTAATTGCACCTGAATATGCAAAGAGTTGGTCCGAACGTAAAATCTTTGGAGATAGGCTTGCTTTAATCTGATAGTTATTTGTACTGCAGAGTTCGGTAAATTGGTGGAAGCAATCACAGGCCAGATTTTAGACAGTGTTGTTCCATTATGATGTTTGTGCATTTATACAGTGCAATGAAGTGCTCCCATTTACAGCTTTGATATCCCAATGTAACAAAAATCTATCAATTTAAAGGGGGGCGGGGGCGATGAGGGGGGTGGTTTGAGGATGGAGGGACAAAGCACAGTGGTTATGTTGTGCAAATGGCATTCAAAGGCCCTGACAAAATAATCTGGATTTGAGTTCAAATCCCAATACAGCCACTGGTGATTTTTTTTAAAAAATTAAATAAATCTGGAATTTCAAAAAAAGCTAATGTCAGTAATGGTGATCGTGAAATTGCCAGTAAGGACATAATAGACTTGTTGACTTCCTTCTATGATTCTGCATCCTTAATCAGTTTTCCAGTATTTGACACCAAACCCATTGCAACGTGGTTGTCTTGAAATTACTCTCAAGAAAGACCAAAGCAATATACTCCTTAATATTTAAGACATGACTCAAGGGCAAGTAGGGCTTGATGAAATAAGTGAGGGTCACATTCAGTTAATGAACGAAAACAAAAGCTCATGTACAAGATAAATGTAGGTGTGGTTGGATTAGATGTGGAAGCTGTCCAGTATGTGCTGACCATTTCCCCAAGAAGCAGTGTTTGAATAAGGAAGGGGTTTGTCCCCAGAATAGATCCTTCAGAGATTCTGCTGTGGCAAACAAAATGTACTTGTAATTGGACTTCGGCAGTTCAGAGGAAACTACATTTTTTTTTATTCAGTGTTTATGGCTCCAGTATTGAGAGAACTATCTTTGTGCTACTGAAAACAATTTGGTCTTTTCAAAGGATTGTACTGTCATTAACTTTTTAAAAAAAAACAATTCCAGGCGTGCAATATTTGTGATAATGTTTGCTAATTATACTTTCGTAGGATTTTATATATTTATTAGAACACACCATAAACAACAGTTTAACCAGATGTGTAAAGAGCTGACGGGAACAGACTGTAAACAGCTCATTGAGAATGAGTGTGAACCTGAGAGACAAAGAGGAACTCTGAGCAAAACTGAAGAGAAACTCCCTAAACATACAGTCCTGACTGGAAACCAGAGTGCCAGCAATAACGCGAATGGTAAGGACATCCTGGCAGATATGATATTCATTTCATATGATGACTTTCACAAGATAATTTTTGGGTTGTAAATGAACACAGGTACTTGGAATACAGAGAAGTAACCATTTCCATGGACTAGCTGGAAACCAGTTCTCAGGTGGTGGGGAGATCTGTTGATATTCCAGTAATGTCACTCATTGCAGGAGGAGTTTTACTACAATACACAGCAAATTCTAAAGTATACAGTGTGGAGCTGGAGGAACATAGCAGGCCAGGCAACGTCAGAGGAGCAGGAAAGCTGACATTTTGGGTCGGGACCCTTCTTCAGAAATGGGGGAGGGGAAGGGGGCTCTGAAATAAATAGGGAGAGGGGTTTGGGCTGGGGAAGGTAGGTAGGATGGTGATAGCAGGTAGGTAGTGGTGGTGGGGATTGGTCAGTGAGGTGGGAGGAGCAGATAGGTGGGAGAGAAGATGGACAGGTCAAGGAGGCAAGGATAAGAGGGAGGGTTAGTCTTGGGATGAGGCCAGGGGTGGGGAGATTTTGAAGCTAGTAAAGGTGGGATGGCGATAGGTGAGTGCAGGTAGGTGGTGGTGGGGATTGGTCAGTGAGGTGGGAGGAGCGGATAGGTGAGAGAGAAGACGGACAGGTCAAGGAGGTCTGATGTTGCCTGGCCTGCTGTGTTCCTCCAGCCCCACACTGTGTTATCTCAGACTCCAGCATCGGCAGTTCTTACTATCTCTGAAATTCTAAAGTATGATCTTTTTAATTACTATATTCCCTGACTATTTTAGTTTCAATGGCATTAGGCTAGATAGAAAAAGCCTAATTATTTTTAATTGCCACAGCCTTTTTATATCTGTAAGAGCTTATTCTTTTTAGTTATCCACCTGGTATTGGACAAGAGCATTCCCAAACTAAAGGGTTACTATCTATTGATATTAACTGGGCTGTTCTGTGCTCCTATGCCACTAAGTTGAAAATCCTGTGAACTGATTGTGGTTTTTCCCCTGATAAACTCCCCTATAGCATGAAATTTTGTTTCATTTCATTATTGTCAAAATGAAGCCTTCGAAAACAATTATTTCATTTTTTAGGAAATGTTGGAATTTATTAACATGAATAATGAAGAGAGACCATAGGGCTGCTCTTTTTTTTTTAGAGAAAGCCAACTGCTGGTGCTTTAACTTGATGGTCACCATGCCTCAGGTGAGGGGAGAGGTTAAGAATGAGAGTCCTTTGTGGTAACCTCAGCTGGTTTGGGAATTGAACCCAGGCTGTTGCCATTACCCTGCATTGCAAACCAGCTGTCCAGATGACTGAGCTAATTTACCCCGATACGTTTTACCTTTTAACATGGATAGTACTTAGAAAGTTGCCTTCCTTTCCTTCCTCGGAATGTCTTCTTCTGTTCTCCTGCCAATCTCTTTCTCTGTCCTGTATCATCTGACTGTCTCTTGACCAAGTATGTTCAGAGTGTTAAACAAGTGAGAAAATCAGCAAGACGAAAAAAGTATGTGGTGGTTTAAATAAATATTAAAATATGGAAACCTTCTTATGAGCAGCAGTACAAAAATGACACTCACTGGGAATACTTGGAACAGAATGACTTTTAAATCCAATATGGACAAGCAAAGTGTGCATTCAGGAGAGAATACCAGGAAAAGAAAGCCTTCAATGAGGCTTTAAACTGTAATGAACTGTCTAATTGTGCTTTTACATTATACAACAATGCTCTAGCCTTTCCCAAAATTAAATAGCAATACTATTTTATGATATCCAGGAGAGCTGTAAGTGCAGCTTCGATTAGATGGATACCCACAACGGAGCAGGCATGTTCAAATATTTGATGTCAAGCAAATGTCATCATTTAATCACAAGTTGTCCAAGTATGATAATGGCTTTTCTTTTTCCCGATTAATAATTTTAATAGCTGAAGGATCTGGAACTACACAAAGCAGGATTTCAGCATTCTTTCTAAATGGTGGAAAATCAAAGCCTTTAAATGTCTTGGAGACACCAAGCACTTTACATTGCACTAATGACAACAATATGGTAAAGAGCTGTCCCTCTGAAGTTCAGGACGAGGAAACAAAAAGCATACGATCCCCATCTGCAAATGCCCCATTACTGCCTTTCTCCTCTGATGTGAATTTGAAATTAGGTAAGTTGCATGAATTAACATACTTTAAAATGGATATTTAACTGGATAAATCACTTCAGAATTAGACTGCACATTAACCTGAAATTCCCTGTAAATATATTCCTACACTTTACAAAAAAATTTTTTGAATTTCAATTTTAAAAGCTATGAATTTCAGAGTGCTTTGGAATGTTCAGAGGTTGTGCAAGGCACTGTCTGGATAATTTATTTTGAGACAAATCAACTTGCTTCCAAGTTATTCATTCATCTCAACAAAAGCCAAGCACAGGATGTGCATTAAGAAATATACGTAGGTATCAGTGGTTTTCTGAAAAGCCTGAAACATTCAATTCTGGTGATAATTTTTGTTTCTTTTGCAAGTTCCGTTGTGCATTTTTAATACTGTATTCTGGCTTCGATAAGTTCAAGAAATGTTCCAACTATTCTGTGATAATATGATGGTTTTATATTATGGTGACTTGCCATTATGAAAGGTTCTTGTATGCTTCTAAATAAAGTAGTAATTGTGGATGAAGTTATTGATTAGTGGATACAAAATTACAAACCACGAATCTTTCAGTCTACCTAGCTTCCTTCATCCAGAAACCCCTGGTAGTTTCCCAGTTGTGCTGTTTAAATTGCTTCATGAATTGAAGGTTTTTCTTCTAGGTTTTTGTTTCTACTGTTGGAAGTTCATTGTGTACATGTGGTAGTTATTGACTGAGGACTGACCTGTGCTCCTATTAAGCTGCAGGCTTTACATCTCAGAGAAGGCCCAGGTTCAAGTCCCAGCTGCCCCAGACATGTGTCATCAAATGTCCGAACAGCTTGATAATCTATAGAGGAATCTTGTAGCGCAGTGGTAGCATCTGTGCCGCAGGAACCAGCAGCTAGGTTTAATCACATTCGAAAGAAGGCATCTGTTGACAGAGCAACAACCCTTAGATTTTCTGAAGTAGCAGTCATAGACTAGAGGGTGGGGGCATTGGGTTCCAGGGGAAGGGATGGGTCCCTGAGGGCAGGGGCCATGCACGGGGAGGTTGGGGCATATTGGTACCGGGGGCAGTAGGGAATCTTGGCTCTCGGAGGGCTAGAGGAAAGGAGATAGATCAGGGTCCAGGGTGGAGGTGTGAGTGGCAAGCTGGGGTGTCAGTTTAATAGCTTAGCCAGAAGTTGGACTCCGTCTTTAAATGCCAGTTATTTTTTGATAACTATTTATTTAACATTAAAAGTACCCTCCAAATTCTCTGATTTAAGTAGAGATATTTCCTGGGTTCCAGGCACAGGAAATTGCCATCAAATTCATCAATTTCCTGGGCAGCATCCTTAGAGTTTGCTACATCAGGGATTCCACAGGGTGTGGAAGTGCAACTTGCACCTGTACTGCAGAAACAACTATTGTTTAATACAGTGAATGGGAAATCCAGGCCCTTCTGTGTCCGTATCTCTGTGATCACCCTACTTTGAGGTGCCAGCAACAAGCTATGCTGATTAATCACCTATTTAAAAAACAAAATTCATAGAAAGCAAAATAACTTGAATTGCTGAAACTGGGAACATGCATATAAGTTTTTATTTTAAATATAGAGTTCATCATTCACGGTAAGGTACTAACGTTCAAAGAGGTTGTGAATTTAAGTGCAATAATTTGAAAAGTGTAATTGTATAGGAACAAACTGAAATACATTTTACATTGCATTAGACCAAATTGTGATGTGATGCTTCAATACAAGTAGCTCCTGAAAGAGTGTAAAGTTGATTATTCAATGAGTGGCTTGTGCAATCTAATTTGATGATGATACTGTTGTATTATGTGTGCCCCATGTAGTTTGAGATTCAGCATTCTAAGCCAGTACTGAACTTTGAAATGTCCAACATTATCACATCTGCATACGGAATCCCCTCTTTATTAAAGCTGAACGCTCCTCAATGTATGCTGTTCTGTTTTCTACTCTTGTGCTTTTTAGATCAGGTATTATGACCCTTTTAAAATATCCCATTTTGTTTGTGGTGTGATTCTCTTTATTTTTAGAGCCTACAACGATCAGGCACATACAGAGAGAGACAATAAAGGATATATTTTGTTTTATTATTTTTCACCTGTTCCTAATGACATGTGAATCTTGGGCACAAGTACCAGAATTTGAGCTCAAATCTTTAATTTTCTAATGATCTACAAGTCATCCTTCCATACACAACTGTGTCACAGGATTTTTTTTTTAAATAGTGAATAAGCTCTAGCTTGTTTCTTTTTGGACATCTTCGTGGCTAGTAAAGGTAACGTCACAGTAGTACCAGAGGACCATAGGCCCAGACAACTGGTGGCTTAACCTGAGATAAGGGGAGAGATTGAGAAGGAGAGTCCTTCATGGTGACCTTAGCCAGTGCAGGAAGTGAATACATGCGTTGGTGGGCCCTCTGGATTGCAAAGCAGCCATCTGGACAACTGAGCTAACTGGTCTAGGCCCGAAACGTCAGCCTTCCTGCTCCTCTGATGCTGCTTGGCCTGCTGTGTTCAAGCAGCTCTACACCTTGTTATCTCAGCTAACTGACCCTTATCTGCTGGCTGGTATGGGAGCTGTGAAAACATTTTTCCAAATAGGTAGATCCTGTAACTTGTTACTCGAGCGAAGTTGCCCCCTAATTGGGATTTGGTACTTGAAGTGCTTTTTATGTCCATTAATGTACTGCAACTTGTAACACTTAGACAAACTACTTCATATTAACAGGTCTTGTTTTTCGGAAGAAATTTTATAAACTTTGCAAATATTCTGCTAGGTTTCCACTGCATAGTTTGCAGAATTGATGCAACAGTGCCATTTAATTGTCAATCCTGTGACTTCACCTGCTGTATGTCTTGCTGGAAGCAGTTGTTGAAGGTTAGACTGGCTTTTTTTAACTTTTTCAGTAAAATACAGCCTGATTACCAATTAAGATCTTTTTTTTAAATACGTTAACTCTATAGATACTTCTGGAAATCAGAATTCGTCAGCTAAAGCAGTAGCTAGATAAGTAAGTCTGAGAAAATTGATACTGGGCTGAAAATATAGTTACTTCACACAAATACATCGAAAGCAGATTGATGGTTTGTTGTGATTTTTCGGTACAGGAGGTACCTAATTTATGAACATCTGTCTTAAGCACACTCATATGCACCAATGCAATCTGACATAGGGGTGTAAGTTTAAAGATCAGAGATATAAACATTTCTCATTCTTAGGAACAGCTGTTTAATATTGTTTTACATTATGTTCTCAATTGCGCACAAATCGACCTGTGAATGGACTAAAACAAAACCTGTTTGCAATTTCAGTTTGATAACTGATGATTACAAAAGTTTAATTCATGTAGGTGTTTCCACTTGAGCATTTTTGCCACCCAAAAGAAGTGGTAGATGTGGGTACAGTTACAACAGACTGTACAGGACATTGGTTAGACCAGTTTTGGAATACTGCATTCAATGCTGTTCTACCTTCTATTGAAAATATGTTGTTAAATTTGAAACAGCGCACAAAAGACTTACAAGGATGTTGCCAGAATTTGGAGGGCTTGAGCTATATGGAGAGGCTGAATAGGCTGGGGCTATTTTCCCTAGAGCGTTGGAGGCTGAGGGGTGACCTTTATGAAGTTTATAAAATCATGAGGGACATGGCTAGGGTGAATTGCCAGTCGTCCTCCCAGGGTAGGGGAGTCCAAAACCAGAGGGCATATGTTTTAAGGTGACAACGGAAAGATTTAAGAGATCAAAGGGGCAACTTTTTCATGCAGAGGGTGGTGTGTGGGGATTGAGCTGCCAGAGGAAGTGGTGGAGGCTGGTGCAATTACAACATTTAAAAGGCATCCGGATGGATACATGAATAGGATGGGTTTAGAGGGATATGGGCCAAATGCTGGCAATAGGACTAGATTAATTTAGGATATCTGGTCAGCATTGATAAGTTGGACTGGAGGGTCTGTTTCCATTCTGTAGAATTCTGTGACTCTATTTAAAAAGTGTTGGACAGATACCTGAAAAGGAAAGGTTTAGAGGGATATGGGCCAATGCAGACAAATGGGATTAGTTTTACTCTGGGAAATCTGGTCGGCATGGATAAGTTGGACTAAAAAGTCTGTTTCCTTGCTGCATGACACTGTGACTCTATGTGAACTGTTCTCAGAAACATGCTTGTTTTCCTGTATTGGAATTAGTTAATCCACGAGAATATTGTGAAGAGGATTCTGCCTGTGTTACTCATTCCAATTTTGAGGTTTTGCTTTTGACGTATTGGCTTGCCACAAAAGTGCAACTAATGGAAAAACCACTAATGGAAAAAATGTTCAAAGATAAAAGGAGAGACATAAAGACTCTCAGTGCCAATATGGGTAGATTAAATAAACCACTATTATTCTGGATCCATATTGGGAAATAAACTGCAAACGTGAAAAGATGATAGTTATACAAGGCAAAAGTCAGGCTGCTGTCATTTGGGAACATAATTATCTAGGAAAAATTAAACACATATTATATGCATAATGTAGATTCAAAACAATGATGCCTTGAGCTCTACTTTTCTATGACTGTGCAGAAATCAATAGCGAATCAAAAATTGAGACAGGATTCTGTCACCAGGTCTGCATGCAATCATTGAATTTTGTTTCCACATGATTAATTCTATACCCTTTCAAATTTTCCTGTTCACAGTTTGAAATTTTTTGTTTCCTAATATTAGATGGTTTCATCTTGTTACTTTTTGAGTCTGTAAGGTTTAGAGCCAGCAGCAAGAGATAAGCCATATATTTGCTCCATTCCTCTGAAACATATCTGTTCTACATATCATGCTTTACCCTAAATGTTTTTTGTGATAATCAACTGTTTTTATAGTCATGTTTTGTTTGCCAGTCTCTGGATTCAGGAACCAGAGATGAAATAGTTGAGAACCATAGAAGAACAACCATCCAGAATAAAAATAGCTTTATTATTATCCCAAAATGTTAAGGAGGAAGTTCTTCATTCGATTGACTCTAATTGTTGTGCATATGTTTCTGTTTAAGATAATTTCCAATGCTGTGTTTCTGGTGCAAGTGCCTTAGTTTCATACCATGTAGAAGGTCAACCCTTTGACCTGCATGTATATAACTCTTTTCTCTAGAATCACCCACAGTAAATTTGTGTATTGTCCATGACCATCTTAATTTTAAGAAAGTCTCAAATCTAGTAGTTCTGAATAATTAGCCAGTTCTATAGCTATATTATTAACTAATTTTGAACACATAAATTAATATCTACTATTTTACCAAAATATTCTGTGTAATGATTCAAAGTAATGAAAACAACTCTTGATAAAATGCACCTGTATATCAACATCATATCTGTGTTGATAAACTTTCATATTTTCATCTCAAAAATCTACTAGCCTCATTCTTTAATTTCATTGAAGCTAGCAACCGTAATGTTTTAGAGTTGGGGCAGTTGGTAGTAGGGTTGATGAAACTTTTGTAGGAGGGAAATAGTGATGTTATTTGAGTTTAAGTTGAATTACAACTCTTGTGTAAGAGTAAGATCTACCCATTGAGATACTGTTCCATTCTAAGCCCTTTATTCAATGGTCTGTTCTATGGTGGTTTGGAGTACAAAATCCTGTCATGGTTGTAAACCAGTTAGTCTGTATTAAGTTATAGTACCTGGGCTTAACAAAAAATTACCTTTGTTTATCAAGCTTACTAAAGAACATCTTTGGTTCCCATCATGTAATAACTGTGTTAGAGAATAAAGGTGGGATAGATAGATGGGAGATTTAATAAAGACATTTTCCAGTGTTATTTCTGTAACATAATACTTTGAGAGGCTATTTTTATTATTGCAGTTTTTCCCTTTCTGATTATTTTAGTTATTTGCACTGTTATTGTATGAACTGAACAAAGCTAAGTAGACCTTCCCCTATCAGCAGTCCAAAGATCAAAATGTAAATATATTTATTGAAATACAGCATTTCCAAAGATTTCACTGTCCTATCATCTTTCCAGAAAAATAAGAAGTGCCCAAAGTGCAAAGAGATCGTCAACAGAAGATGCTTGAGGCAACTTTTCTTTTGGACATATGATCCACGGTCTATCAATCAAGTGAGGAGCAAATTGGATACGTCAAGGAAATGACTTTAACTCTTTGGACAAAAGCACTTTTATTTGGGTATAAACTATCTTTAAACTTGTGTTTTGTAACTATCAAAATAAGTCTTTTTTTAAAAAATATCATACATCTGGGAAGGTTCTGAATTTTGTAAATGTCAGCTTTGTTGAAAGCATCTGAATTAAAAAAAAGATAAAATGCATGCTTTTATATAAAGAATTTAGGAATCAAAGGTGGTCAAGATGACAGTAATACCTTTTAAGCAGTAGAAATACAATTCAGTTGGATCTGGAATTTGGTAAATGGCGTAGAACATTGAATAATCACTGTGATTCGGTGGAGTGATGGATGTCAGTTTACTTAGCTTTGCATTTGCCAGGAATGTATTGTATAAATCTGAAAATCTGCCACAAAGACAAAATGTTGAACTGATCCAAGAGTACTGTGTCAAAAAAGGCAATATTTAATGGGGCAATGGGGAAAAGAAAAATGAATGAATGAAAATATTCTAAGTACAGTTGCCTGTTATACTTGTCCTATCCCACAAGGAGTTAATGCAGAAACACCAAACCCTATAATGTAATCACTGCATTTCTGCCAACAGTTGCATAGGAGTCCTGATCAACTGAAGTCGGGCATAAAATTAAGTGATGATTGCCTCTTGGACGGGTGACGAGTTAAATTTTCCACACCCCGTGAAGGCATGTTAGGAGCCAGAAGCCTGGGGAAATAATGACGACCTGTATCAGGCCTCCTAAAGAGTATTCCCAAGTCAGGAATGTTTCCCAGGGTTCGCATTTGAACTGTTTCCCTGATCTCTCAAACCAGGCAGCCAGCCCCCATCATAGATGATTGTTCTTTGTGTAGTTGGGCAGCCTCCATAAGCAATGAGGCTTACTCCACCACTGGCAAAATGCTGTAATGTTTCCCTGTCCACCCGCATGGATTGCCAAGGCACCAGAGTTACCAATCCTCAAAATTACAGGTTGCCTCTTGGTGTCCGTCTGGTAGACATCAGCGGTGAACCTACGGCCCTTGTTTGATCTCAACATCAGGATCTTCAATCTCCACAGCAAAATCCCGGTTCCAAGTCTGAAAAAATATATCTTGCCTAAATCTTCTTGTCTCTGGATTGTCATCCACTGGACAGATTGAGGAAGGTGCACATCAGGAACCAGTGGAAGCCCTTACCAGTGGAACTTGAGTGGGAATTGCCTGAGATGTTTAAACTATTTTTGGGCAATTCCCCCGCCTTCATGGCTGGGATCATGTACGAATGTGTCTGACTCTGAGGTAAAACTGGAGACTTGATACAGTCAATCGAGTTATCTTGGTAGATATACTGGAATGGTTAGACAGTTTAAAATCTGTTAATTCCACAACTGACCACCTGCCTACGTGATGACCTGCCTCAACAATCCAAGAACTGGAGTCCCCATAATGAAATCCATTAAACTGTTTCTTCAACAAAGCCAGCTGAAGCCAAGTACAGCTGGATATAGGGTAAATGGTAATTAAGCAGTGATTAATTCAATTAATTCACAACTTCAATTTGAACTCTGCAGTACAAATATTTGGTGCTGCATTTTTGAATTGACCTTATTTGTTTGCCTGTCTATGTTATATCTATGTTGACTGCACTTTGCCCTACAATATCAATATGCACAATCAATTGTTGGTGATTTTTCAACTGGTTCATGAATATGAACGTTAGAAACAAAGGGACAGTCTTTCATGCAGGTACAAAAAAAGGATGCATGTGAAAGGACGTGTAAAGATCACGATGTCCATTAATCCTCTTTGGTTTGGCAAAACCTTTACCTTTCTCCCTACACACACTCATATACACACACAAGCACACAAAGCACGCCAATGTGGAATGACTGCAAGGCTCAATGGAATGTATGAAAACAGTCTGATGTATCAAAATCCATGCCTGCACCTATCAATAAGACAGATGAGCACTGAGAAACAGTGGAAATTGGAAAAATTCATCTAAAATTCCTTGAAAGTGTCTGAGGTATTAGGAATACCTAAACTAGACTCAACCACTGTGGAAACTAGTTCCACCAAGTACTCCAATTTTACTTGGAAGCAAACAGGTTTCATTCCAAAAATTGTAGTTTGTGAAATAATTCTCATTATGCCTATGCTGTAGATCTCTCATTTTGGGAATAGAACCTATGGTTGGGATTTCTTTTCACTCTGTGGACGTAGACCTAAAAGCAGGAAAGACTTCCCCTCAAGTATTCCTGTCCAATTACATTCTCAGCTCATCACATGTGCATGCTTGGGACTGTACCAAATATTATGGGCAGGATGTTCTAAAGCACATCAGGACTTTCTGACCTCCAATGTCCGGGTGCTGAATTTAGATTGCATCCAGGCAGCACTTCACTCTCTGTAGTCCAACAGCATCGTTCAACTTGTACTCGTTGCACCTACTCCCTCCCAGAGATGTCAGTGACTAGGTAAAAAGCAGTGCCGTGCTTTAGTGACACCTCCCTGCTGTTTCTCCTGTAAGTTGTCCAGGAGAGAAGGGAATTTCATTTCCCAAGGAATGATAATAAGATCAGGTGGTAGTAACACCCATGGGCAGTTGGAGAACCTAGCTCCAGTGCCACGCTTGGGTGACTGATCTGCTGTTCTCTGCCCGGGTATTTACCACTCTCTACTCCATGCTTCATGTTCGGATGAGTGAGAGTTAACATTGTATGATTGCTCCTGCTGACGTGGTTGATTGCCAGTCATCTCAATCAGATAGCTCATGTGCAATCAATGGCTCTTTATTCCATTGATTGATGTAGTGCTGCTGGCACCACTGTGGCACTGAATCTGTCACATCTGCCAGGATATGCACTTTTCTAAAAAAAAAAAAAGGAGCTATATCACTCAGGCACCATCAGTTTATTGCCTTTCTTCAGAACTAGAAGTACATAGACATATGGTAGCATTTCACGAAAGCCTCCCTACATGGGACAAGCAAATAACCACAAAAGATGACCTTTTGAATTCAAAGTCCTTTTGAGTTCAACCCCAATTACCTGACCTAGTCGGGTTTGTTAGTATCAGCCATTGTGGCTGCCTTGCTTGCGCAGGCTTATTGGCCTGGTCAGGCTTCACCCGTAACATTGTAAGCATATCACAGCCGGCCAGACTACATACAGCTTAACTATCTCATGACCTGATAAACATAGTGAGGCTTCACCTCCAACACTAAGTGTTTGTGCAAAGAAATGCCTTGGTTATCAAGGAGCTAAGTAACGGAAGAAATACTCATTGGAGCTTGAAGGAAAACATCTATCACACCTCATAGATATAATCGGTGTTTGTGAGCCATTTTTGGCTAACAAGATTGTGCACATGAAAGTAATTGCCCATGGTATGCTAATCAATACAATAGATGTTCTCTACTATGAAGGTAAGGAAAGCCAACCTGGCTGAAATTCTCTGAGAATTTCATAACAAAACTTTAACCTGCAATCTGGAAGCTGAACTTTTGCCTCCTAAGCAATTAATGTTCCCCACCTACCCTTCTGAAGGTCATGAGTAGACTTGGAAAATTCCACTCATTGGTAAGCATAAATTCAAAGAACACAGAAACAATGTGTTATTTATTCTGGTGTGATTGTCTTTTTGTCCAGTTCTTCATGATACCAATACCAGCTTTGGAAAGAATAGCCATAACTATTAATTTCAGCAGCTACAGACATCCCGAAGTTTAAGGTACGAGTTGATGCGTCAAATCCTGTGAGTGATATTGTTGATAGAATTTGACTTTAAAATTCAAATAGAAAATAAAATGTCAAACAATCCCAATGTTAATCCCTATTGTACCGTAACTTTGCAGCTTAGGCCTTTTATCAGTATCTTCAATGGTTTTGCCTTTTAGTACCCAACTGCACTATTCTTAATATTTTCTACTTAATTCCTTTCCTGTACCTATTTAAATTTATTTGTCATTCGTTTAAACTTGATTCTTTGTATTCTTTCAGAGTTTTGCAACATCTAAAAAACATGACAAAGCGCAGCTCTGATGAAGAGTCATCTGGACTCAAAATGTTGACCTGTTGTCTCTCCATGGATGCTGCCTGACCCGCTGTGATCTTCAGCATTTGTTGTTTTCAGTTCAGATTCCAGCATCTGCAGTAATTTGCTCCTCCTGGTTCCTTGTAGATCCTCTTTCAAGGTTGAAGGTTTTTCCCAGCCATTCTTAAAAATCTAGTGCAATGACACCACCTCAATTCTCCTCATCTCCCCTGTCCCACCCCAACCCTGTACTGTTTGTAGGTTTCGAATGTTTTCATTATTTCTTATTTAACCAGAACTGTAGTTTTCTGTTCTATGTTCTATTGATAGTAAAATATAGGGTATGCAGGGTAGTTTGATCTTAGTAGGATAATAGGTTGGCACAACATCGTGGGCTGAAGGGCCTGTACTGTGCTGTACTGTTCTATGTTCTAACTAGACATAAGATGTAGCCTCACCAGAGCATGTTCTCAGCATGTTGCCCTCATGCTGTATTAAAAGTATTTGTTTTTTTTCTTGCATTGACTGCATATGGCCAATATTTCAAATATACCATTAACAATGTCAAGAACTTGCATTTCTATACTTGTTAATGTCCTAAAATGCTGTAGTCAAATTAATTACTAATGAAGTAGAGACACTGTTGTATACAAGCAAACAATAACCTGTTTGTGCATAGCAATATTCTACAAATAACAAATGATAATGTGTAGTTTTGGTTGTATTACTTAAGGGGTAAATATTACTGATGATAGCTGGACAACTCCATGCTCCTCTTCAGTTAGTGCCATGGGATGTTATTCATCCATTTGCACAGACTGATAAAATGATATATAAAATTTGGCCCTGAAGACAGTAGCTCTGTTAATGCAGCATTCCGTCAGCACTGTAGTGAAATATCAAATTCAAATGAGCCATATTGCCGCAGCAGGGCATCCAACTGAGATTTGCTCGTGCAATTTTATGTTTCTAAAATTTGTGCATGGCAAGTTGTTGAAAGAATTAGCTGATAGTATCAAGTATGAAAACTGGGCATTCAGGCTTTTGAATCGGGCAGGAAATTTGATATGTTGGCCATGTGCAATCAATGCAGAAGAAAAACAGTCAAATGCTGTTGACTTAATCCTAATTAATTAGACTCTAGGACTGTGAAGTTGAAAATGTAAGGATTAAAGTAAGAATGTACGAATGAGTTTAATATCAAGTCAGGTAGAGAGAGAGAACATTGGATTGGGGCAGGAGATGGAAAGCGGTTACAACTCAAAGGATATGGGGAGCAGGTCAAAAATGGAATTGAGGGAGAAAATCAGCTAGGGGTTGCAGGATTGTGAGCCAAATAGTCTACTACTGTTGCTCTTTCTAATGCTTCTATGTTTTTTTAACATGTTGGAAGTTTTGAAATCATGATTCAAATCCAGGAGTAATGTCCTACACTTTATAATAGTTCCCACTGCGAGTGGAATTACTGTAAAGGTACAGTAATTGCCAACAGAATCACTCTCACAAAGAGTTCCCCTTGTCTGGCTCAGTTAACTATGAATGGACCATACATGTTTGTAGGACATGCTCCTAATTGTCGCTTCAGACCAGCTCTGACTTTCTGTAGTGAGTATAATTTGATACATACAGCATAAATATCTCCACATTCAATCCATTTCATGATGAAGCAGACGGTCACGTGTTGCAAAGCCAATGTGCAATTTGAACAAGGCATTTGAATATTTATTTGTTTTTGTGAAAATTTTAACACTTAGAGCCAGGTATTTAATAAAACTGAAATGAAACCCATTGAGTAATGACAGATAAAAGGTAAATAAATGGATTTAACAAGTTATTGAATGCCAGTTCATTCACAAACCTGTAAGGAAAACAAAACACTAATTATCATCTTATTTACTCATTGCAGTTTGCAGAAAATATTTCAAAATGGGCCTGGATAGGTTTGAAGTCTTGCTGGATAGAGGGTCAAATGATGATCTAATTCTATTCTTTTTGCCTATCTTTCGACTGTATTTGCCTGTTCCTTTCTACAGTAAATGTTGGAGCTCCAGGGAATTACAATACTGGGTTGTGACATGGAGAAAGCTTTCAATTTGCAGCAGTAAGATTATTTCATACCAGGAGCAGTGTTCAGCAGGTTGGACTGCATCTGTAAAGAGAGCAGCAGAGCTGATGCTTCAATTCAATAAACTTTCCATAGATCTTCAAAAATTTATTTCACATTTCCAGCATCTGCAATATTTTATTTTCGGGATTAATACTTTTAAGATCAAACTCAATGTACAAAAGTAAGTACTTAAATATTTCTGATTATTTCCCTTCTTTTCTTGCCATTTATTTTGCTTTCCCTCTATTCTTAAATTTACTTACAATCATGCTGTCACTAGCCTATTTTGAAAATCTGTTTTAAGAATACTTTTTTTCTTGTTTATTCCTTGAATGTTGCCATGGATATTGGATACAGAATC